AAAAAATGGAGGAGGATACATTAGTAGTAGATGCCTTGTGGGGCATAGTACCCTAATGATTGGGGATTCCAAGGAATCTAGAACTAGAAGAAGTATAGGGATCAAGAAGGAGGAGGAACCTTCGCTATCTCGTGAGAGGAATTATAATCTAACCTCCTCCAACCCACAGCCGCCTAAGCTTGTTCCTAACAAAGAACTCAAGGGTCAGAACTTCTGTGAGAGAAGTGGAATATCGCCGCAACACCTGCAAGAAGGAGGCAACTCTGAAACAGAGAGGGGCAGATTAACAAGTGGGAGGCTTCGAGCCAAGAAGCTCCCAACCCATGGAGCAGAGGAGTCTGATAATTTCCTTAGGGAACCAGAGGATGATTACTACCGAGGACGCAAAGGATTTCAATGTCCGAATGGGCATGAGGGGACTAAGGAGCCAATGAATAAGGGGCCTTTGTCAGTCATGGAAGGCGATAGATTACAGCCAGGAGTTTTGAACGGTGAAAGGAGACGAAAGAGTAAGAATATTCCTGAGGTTCTGGAGTACTACCATCCAAGCTATAGGAGGGAGGGACTCAAGACAAAGATAAGGGGTCTACTAAAAAGAGTAGATCTAAGATTTCAACTGAAATTGATGCGATACATGAAGGGGAGAAACTATTCTGTAGAAAGTGAATTTTTGGAGCTTCGTGGTGGTGGAAGGATACTAGCTTATTACTATAGAGAATACGGAGTATTATTACCACTTATAGTAGCTACTGTAGAGCTCTTAATTTCCTTACTGGGTCTATTAGTCCCAGGTCTTTATTCTGTATCAATAGCAGCATGTATTATAATAGGTGGATTATTCCTGAGTATTTTGTACTATTATATAAGAACCTATTGTAAGATAAAGAAAATGGGAAGATGTTTCAAGAAGCATGGTGTTATAATAGATGCCTGAGGAAAGCATATAAGAAGAATGTATTGTACATAAACTGCCTGAAGAGGAGACTTTCCCAGAGTTGGATTGAGGAGTTTATAGGGAGGAGAACAGGAATATATGATATTAGTAATAAGGCTGTGGAAAGAATTCTTTTTCTATTTATTAGTGACAGAGCTGAATCTGGTGTTCTTTTGTATTCCTTCTGGAGGGATGCCTTGGTAGAAGTAAATATTTATTTCCATTGTTACTCGCTTGCAGATGTATAAAGGGAAGGAATTAACAACATGATTTTTTTTTTCTGAATTTTATTTTATTGTATAATTTTAAATGAATTTCTGTTTTTCCGGACTAGTTTTATTTTTCTATTATATGGGGGCAGATATTTCTGTCTATTTGAAGAGTAAATCTGTGAGTTCATCGATGAGGGGATTGAATGGGAGTTAACTGTCGTGGAAGCGTGGATGTTATGAATTTTTTAAGTATAGGCAGGATACTTTAGTGGTTGACTAGATTTGTGTATGGTATATTCATGTTTAGGTTTAGGGTTCAGGGGTTATTCTATGGATGTGCGCCCCATCGCCATGGTCAATCTTACTCCCTCATGCTCTTATTAGAGGAACTAATATGTATATGCTTTATAATATAGTTTCCTTCGAATCC